TTGCGTCAGGGCTGGCCCCGACCGGCCCCTGCAGCCCTTGCTCTCCCCCTTCGCCGGGCTTCGCACAAGCTCGGAGTTATTTGGGCATCAGCCAACATGAGAAAGAGCTAATGAATACCCGTGTGGCGACAGCTTCTGAGGGATCCAGGCGCAAGCATCGCTTGCTCCCACCCTGTCGGGTCCTGCAAGCTTGGTCCAGCTTGGACTGGGGTGAAGTGGGCTGCTCTTGGGGTGAATTCCCTAAGGGGAGTTGGGTGCTCGCACCCCCACCTCGCTCCCGGCGGCTGAGGGGTTTCACGTGGTGGCTGCGCTGGCTGCCGGGAGGGCACCCAAACCTCCCAGAACTTTTCCAGTGAGTTTGGGCAATGCCCAAATTCAGCCCCCAGCCGAAGGCAGTGCTTACACGTTAGAGACGGCATCTTTGCCTTTGGCATCCTTTCCTCTGTGGTCAGCGGTGCTGCTCTGGCGAGGGCCACCTTCACCCAGCAGCCCCTGGCCATAGGAAAGGTGTGAAGGCTTCCACCGGCACTGGCCCCGAGCGCTCCCCTGTGCTCAGGGCCAGGTCCGGGTCACCACCACCTCCTTCCCCCTCCTCTCCACCTCCGCCTGCCTTGGAAACTGTGCTTGTCACCTGGAAGATATGCGATATCTGCAACCTGAGGCTTTTCAAGGGGAAAAAAAAGGCGTGCAGGAGAGCGTGGAGGAGCGGACACAGCTGCAGACCCACAGGTCAGCTGCGTGCCGGCGGTTCGTGACGCTCTGCCAGCCCTCGCCAGGCCGGTGGGGATGCGGTCCCTCTACCTTGCTCCATCCTTTGCTGGGAAACGCACGGCCCCGTCCCCGGTGCCACCACCATGGCAGCCCCAGCTTGGGGCAGGGCTGGTGTCAAACCCGCTGCCTCTGTCCCTGTGCCGCGGAAAGGACAGCCTCTGGTCCGGGGACCTGGGACCTCCAGTGCTGGGTGAGGGTGGTGGGGAAAGAGAGGCAGCTCGGGCCCAACACGTACTGCCAGGCTTTGCAGGCAGCCCCAAAAAGCAGCTGCAAGGGCAGAGAGGTGCTTGTTGCCCAAACCAGCCCTGGGGCAGCTTTATGGGCCCCTCAGCAGCATCTGGGGGGACGCGCACCCAGTCCAGGCTGTGCTGCTCGAGCTGGCAGCCGAATCGCCCTGTCCCCATGCTGGCTATGAGCCCCTGGGTGTCCCGGCTCCAGCAGGGCTGCACCTCCAGCTCACGGATGCGATCCTGCCTGCACCCCGTGTCGTGTCCTGGAGTCACCGCAGCGCGAGGACCACGCATCCCAGCCCCGGTGCAAATGCCCCGTCCTCCCCACTGTCTCACGGTGCGCTGGGGCAGGTCACTGCCTCCTGCGGGACACTCCTGACCCCGGCTCAGGCCCAGAAACGCACATCTCGGGCACAAGCTATGGCACAGACCAGGGCTTTTCCTTGCTGTAGCATCTAGGCAGGGCCTGAGCTGTGGCAGGATTGGACTCCCCAGTGAACAGGCTAATTTAACCTCCAAGTGCTTGCAACCATCTAATGCAGCACTCTGAGCTGGAAGAGAAAAATCGAGCTGTCTTTAAAGCTGCACGCGGTAGTGAGTTAGTGCTGCACTGAATTACAGGGAAAAAAACCCCCAAGTCCCATGCTCTGCCCTAGCATCAGTGCTCGTTTCCTCCGTGCTGTGCTGATCCTGGCTACTGTGCTCAGGGCAAGGAGAGCCTGGAATGGGCCAATGCCTGGCTGGAGCATCCCTCCCCGGAGCCCGATCCAGAAATGGGGATTTTCCCAGCCCTGTCAGGATGGTCCTGCAGTCCTCCCTCCCCACCTTTGCTCCTGCGTGTCTGGCAGGGCTACGGCATTGCTTACAGCTTGACATGCAAGCGCCGGTCAAGCGCAGGGCTCACCCGTGGCACGGCCCCACGGCAGGCAGGGGAAGCCTGTGGATGCCTCGCAGCCAGCACGCGTGGGTGTGGACCAGCCCACAGCGATGGACAAGGTACAAAACCCCAGGGAGAGCCATCCCATGGCAGCTCCAGCCCCTTTTATGGCTTCTGCTCCGCAGCCCGACAGGAGACAGACTTTATGGCTTTATTTATTATAAAAGATCTTTAGGAAGCTAATTGCTACCTAAACCCACCCCTATTTCTGCCCACAGGGGCTCTAATGGGGTAATGGCACTGCTGGGGGCTGGTTTCAGGCTTTTTGGACATGGGGACTTGCCCAAGTCGGGGCACCCCCCCCCCCCCGCCAGTCCCCACGCAGAGGGCAGAGCCACAGGTGAGAAACTGCAAAACACAAACTCCATTTCTAGGAAGCTGGATGCCAATAAAACCCAGTGTTCATTGCAGTGCTCCTCATTGGCCTCAGTTTTATAGATGTGCATTTAAAAAATAAAAGCTCTGTGCATCTTAGCTGGCCACAGAAGGGCTTGATCGTTGAAAGGGCCGATCCATCGGGCGATGGAGAGCCTCCTCCCGGCCCCGAGCTTGGCAGGAGCAAACAGGCCAGCTACCCGCTCGGGATTTCTGTGCATCGAGTCGGAGCCTCACACATGAGAAACTCCAGCTGTGCTTTCAAGTATATTTGGCGTGAAGCCACGCGGTCTCTCCGGCATCACACGTCCCACCAAGAGGGAAAGACCCGCTGGCCCCCAGAGAGCCACGTCCCTCGGGTCCGCCCCAGCCTCAGGGGAAGATGGCTGGTTTGGGCAGCTGCCCTAACAACATGCTGGCTCGTTTTGGCTCAAGGACGGGCAGCGAGAAGGCTCCAGAGAGCCAGGGAACTCACGTTTAAATGGTGCTGCTGGGAAAAAAACAGCTCAGATCCCATGAGGCCACCCTGGCCGCACCAAGGGGCCAGCAGCCGGTGGGGCTGCGGCGGGGCCAAGGGGGATGTGATGCTCAGCCGCCGTAGGGGCTGGGCA